TATTTATAGGTAAACATATTAAAAGTTCTTGATTCTTCGAGGTGAGCAAGAGGTAGGAGTGCACCAAGAAGGTGCTGTTTTAGAGTTTTTCATTTACACCTCGAAAACAAGAAATGGCTATGTATTAAAATAAAYCTTGTAAAGTTTCCTTCAAGACAATCGTTTTTTGTATCTCTTATTAAAAAACATTTTTTTGTTATACTTTGCATCGTGGTGCCCTAAATCTCAAGTTTACAGCTAAAGTGATTGCAACGGAACTTTGGTTGTAGGTTGCAAATTGTACGGTAGGCCTATGCAGCTTATAGAAAACAACATTTTCCAACTTCCCTCTAAGAAAATGATGTTTTATTTTTTGCACCGTGCACCGAAAATCTTTACACTCGAAGAATTTTTTTTACTTTTGTATCTCTATCTGTTCGTAAGCACACAGAATGGTTAAAACACCAACATTCCTATTTCTGTTTTAGGGTTTTAGGTTTTATTTTCTAATAGACTAAGATGAAACGTAATGAATGCAAATCTGAATTAATTTCGCAATAATTATGAATCAATCTAAAGTTTAAAGTGATTTTAAAGTGGCTTCTTACATTATTGTAATGGCCGACTTCAACCGGGACAATAACGACAACATTGCAGTACATTTTTGAATGAATATATCGAAAACTATTTTGAGATTTTGAGACAGAAAATTCGAGAAGACGAATAATGTAGAAAATTTTATAAGCTTCAATTTATGTAGTAACATTTTTTGTAACACGCATTTCTGGATACAAGCAACCTATAACTCAAACCCAAAATTCAATCCTGAAGTCAAAAATTTTGTTTTCGACCATGCATTCACGACTTCTTCGTGACAATCGAAAAAGAAAGTTTGTTTCAAATGTAATTGTTTCGTTAGAGTTAAACTAAAAGCAAATCATTTGAAAGAAGGCAATTGTTTACTGTCGGGCACAGATTTAAAGTTCTTATTTGAGTAGCTTAATTAAATTTATTTCTTTAAACAGTGATTGATTCTCGAATCGATTGTGTATTTTCAGTCGAAGTAATGAGACTTTTATTCAAATTTAATCAGCGAATTAGCAACGTTTAGTAGAATTCCAAAAYGGTGGATTAGATGTTATTAGTGTTGGCACCMTATCTTTGATCAAAATAATATTCAAAAGTGGGTGAGCATGTGTGTAGAAGGCAAGGTGTGAGTAAYGACAAATATTGACACATTGAKTGTTGAGGAAACGAAAAAGGTCGGCAAATGTAAAAATCGGATATTTTTATTTTAAAATTACTATTCCCATGGGTGGAAATTTATTTCGATCTAGTTAAAAGATAGAGGCTGTGAAAACGTTAATAATAAGTTTTTTTAATTACACATACGCGTATTTATAAAAAAGAATAGATGAAGTTTACTTTTTTAAAACTTTTTCTTAGTTACATAAGTGTTGTTGTGGAATCCAACTAACCTACATTATTTTTATAGTCAGAAAATTATCTTAAACTTGAACATTTCAAGGTTTTGCATGTAATCTTTATGATAACATAGATAGCAAGAGAAAAATACTATTGTTGACAAAACGTGATTGTGTTTAATGCAATTTCCCTTGTCATATTTTGAGGTGACTTTTGGGACTAAAATATTTCCATCTGTTGGTACACGTGTATACTTTCGCTCTTATTATTCGTCAGATAACAGAACCTGAACGCTTTCATGATTATTCATACGACTGTCAACTTTGCTGGAATACGAATTTTGTGATTCCAGTGCAATAGAGTGCAATAATTACCGGCTATGGGATAAAGATGCAGAGCTTCAGCAATTTGCTACAACAGAATCTCCACAGTCACAATAAATATTTCGGTCATAATCATCACCATATCCACTTCCAACAGACAACAAATGCAGGAGCTTTCAATATCAGCACTGACAGTTGTTCCGAAACGCCGAGTAAAAATTCTCTCGATAGCAGCAGTACGAACTCCTCCGTGAGCGGTTCTTCTCCGAAAGTCGAGTATTCATCATCGCCAAAAAACAGTATATTCCACAAAAATCACAACCATCATCATCATTCGATTCAAGAATTGATTAGACATTTTGGAAAGAAAGTTCATAACTGGAGGTCAGATACGGGTTATCGCAGGAATTCCTGCACGGAGGATAGTAATAAGTTCGAAGAGGATTTTAGAAGTAGAAGCAAATCGTTAGATGCGGCGACGGGGAGAAGAGTCCTCAGCGATTGTGAAGCCACATATAGGATTTATGAATCTATTTTAAAAGAGGGTACGTTATAACAAAACGAGAAATTTAATTTTGTGTCATCAGAAGAAACTTGAATTTTTAAAGTGATCCTCCTGATTTTGTCTCTGCTTGAATCAGTTATTACGGTCTATTTACGTCCATAATTTTGTTATAGCTATTGTTGTATCAGACCGTGAATAGTTAATACAAATGTGTAAAAGGCTTTGTATGTGGGTCTGACATCTTTATCGTGCATAATGCACGGCACAGTGGTGACAGCTTGACAAATATTAGGGACGGCAGCGTAATGCTGGATATTTTCTTCTCGCAGGTTCTATAAACCAACAATTATTAATTTTTATTGAAATTATGYGCAAAAAATTAGTGAAATTACACGTTGATGCTATAAGGGGAGTTGATAAATGGTATATAATTTTTCTTTTGTACTCAATGTTAAAGAGTGCTTTTATCAACTAATTTCAGTAGATAAAGTAGTCTTTTATCGTCTAGTGAAATAAAGTAATTTTTATCTACTGTTTATATTCAAGAAATTCTGGTAGGTGAGTACAAAATAAAACAAAACATTATACACGGCAATAAAGATTGTTTATCTACTCGTGAAAAAAGTCCACTCGTGACTTCGTCACTCGTAAACTTAACCTTTTCACTCGTAGATAAACAATTTCTTTATCGTCTTGTTTAATAAATAACTATTTATTACATTGATCAATTAGCAGATGTCTGGGTTATTTTTTAAGCCGATTTTTTAATAATTTTGTGGTTGCACGAAGTTTTTAACATTTTTATATAATTTTGAATGTGGTTTCCGATTATAATCAAAAATATTAGTATTTAGAACTTTCCTTTTGTTGAGTGATTGTGTTTTATACATTTAAATAAACTTGTTTATGATTACAAAATGTAATAASAGTTCTATGAGCAACACTTTTTATAAAAGCGAGTGTGGGTAAACCTTTATAAATATCTGTCAAAATTATTAAAAACAATGTAATAATTCATATTAACAGTTAGGTAACACTGTTTATATATGGAGTATTTTTAACGTATTCTAAGTTGATCGTAAATTTCTTCACATAATACCAATCATATTTAACTGAATTTTATGTAAATCTTCAAGAGGAATTATGCGGTTTTATCGTTTTAAACATACTAATGCACTGATTTGAATAAATGCTACATTTAAATTTTTGTACATTTCTCTTAGGAAAACTGTAACTAAGAGTGATCTTGTGTAATTATTCAGATAAGTGCATTGCGATTATGTTTTTGGTGTTTTGACTGAAAGTGACCTCCCGATATTTTTAAAACATTTTTTTGCTGTTATACAACTTCTTAAGTATTTGTCAGTTTTCATAAAAGTGTTGCATTTACTCATTATCAATTATTTAATAACTAATTCACTATTACTCGATGTTATTTATTTTTGGCAATGTAATGTTGGTTGCCTACATGACTTATTGTAATAATTTATAGAAACAGGATGTTTTTGGATCTTAAATAAGTTAATAATTCTTGGCAGATAGTGTACATTTTCAGCAAAACAATAATAATAATAATAATAATAAATAACAAAATAATGAAAAAATGATGCTGTAAGAAATAGCAGGATCTTTATTTTTATTTATTCCGAACTGGATCAATGTCAGAACAATGAGCCTGCCCGCTTATTCCCAGTACTCTATTATATTACAGATACTAATAATAAATTCTAATCCTTTTACATTTGTTAAGCTTAGATTTCTATCGTTTGATGAGTGTTACGGCACAATCACACGTACATCAGTTTGTTGTATTGACTTCATTTTGCCACGAGGCTGTCATCATTCAATACATTATCCACATTTTACAAATACAGATACACACCTCATGAACATTGTATTCTTACCACACACAAAACACAGTTGAAGTTTTTGCATTTTTTTAAGGCCTAARATAAAAGAATTACGACGTCATGTCTGTAATGAAGTTTCTGTAAATTGCAGACATGCTACTCGTATGTGTTTAAATGTCGGAAACGAAASTTTACTACCCACTTTAATGATAGTTAACATTGTCTAAAACAGATAGAGGTTTCAAAGTAGGAACAGTTTGATGAAGATTTTGCAATTTTGTTCATTAGTTTTATAGTCGTTTGTGAATTTGACATTCCTGCTGTCGGAGTAAGGGTAAACATTTTTAATACTGACTATTTGCAGACTCTTGTTTAATTATTATAAACACCTTTTCAATAAGGTGCTGATTGAACGAAATTTATCTTTGAACCAGAACTGAGACCAGTAAAGGTTCCGTTTTGTGACATTGCAAATATTGTTATATCTATTAATTATTATGATGAGAAAATAAATTTGTGATAAATGATATCTTTTATCTGTTTGTTATCAATGTAGTGTTTGATTTACAATTAAACCAGACGTATCGTGAAATTTATCGGTGTGAGTGTGTTTTTCTCATGTAGATGCATTAAGATGAATATTCATCGTGGGTATTACTATCAAGGTACATAGAATCTCTCATTACCGACCCGAGTCTTAAAAATAAAACTCCACAATTTCATCGTTTATTTATTAAACTCATTATGGTTCAGTTACTTTTTCGTTGTTTACGTCTATTATTGCAGAATACGTTGTTTAGACATAATGTATGTATGTAATGCGGCATCATTGAAACTCCCACATCTTTGATAACAAGCTTAACATGTATTATTCATTATGATTGGATTACATTTCTAACACAACTGTTTTGTTTTTAGGGGCGCATTTGAGGCAGAGATCTTTAGATACTGAAAGACGGCGGCAATCTCTCGGAACTATCATTCCTCATAGGGCTTCAGATGCTTTCCTCGACCCTTATCATGCCGCGATTCTTTTCAGAGATGCGAGAGGGGTAAGTTGATTTGGTTTTGTTGTAGGAAAAAAACGATGGCCCGGTTTAAACCCAGATTATCAAAACTTACAGTTTCTAATTCGTACTCTGATACGTGGCGCCCTCTGTGAGTTTCACAGTGATGTAAGTTGCTTATAATATTTGGTTTTGAGATTCCTGTCGGTTTTCGACATAAAAGGGAATCGAAATGTGTTCACTTTCCTTTAAGGATCGCCTGTTAAAGCTCAATGTTTGCCTAGTTTTATGTGCATTTCTACCGGGAATAAMTGAGAGAGAGGTATTTAACTTTCAGCATTTTATGTTTTAAGATGACGGAGTATCTCAGTTAATTCGTTTGCGTATTTTTTATAATTAAAGCGATTTTTTTTTGCGTCAACACGACACATAATTATATTTTTAACACATTTTGTGAAATTTTATGTATTTGTATATTAGATATTTAAGCTTTAGATGCTCTTGGTGCAGACTGAAAAATGTAAACTCGAATGGAAATTCTCATTCATTAACACATTTTTTTATTAAGTTATATTAAGGACATTGCAGAAATGAAAGTATGCTGAATTATTGACTATGAAATGAGTTGCTGCATTTAGGCTTTTATAATGGGGCTGCCTGAAAGGTGATAATTTAACACTTTTATCATCCAGAGACGTTTGAAGGAGCTWTAACGTTTTTAAGTGTCTTTTCAGAAAAATGCTGTAAGCAGACATGATAAAGAAAATTTATTTGCATTTGTTTGATCTGATTTGCATAATAATGGTAAAGATTCATCTTGTACAGGTTATTCAAGTTTCTCATGATAATTTTTTACAACTGATTTTAGTTTAATTTAATTTAATTTGCCTACACAAACAAGCATTTATTTGAAATGTGACATACCGCTTTTTTCAGGGTAAAATATATAATAATTAATTAGTGTATTTTCTAAAAAGGAATATAAAACTGCTGCAACAACTGTGAATATTTAATATGCTTTTAAATGGTTTTCGACTACAACGTAGGTGGTATAAACAAATAAAAATGTGTGTACATATACATATGTTACTAGTAATTAAAGAATACATGTTTTTTGAGTTCTTTATGGCGAGACTTATTTATTTCAATTTCTTTTTACATTAAACTTTATAATTAGTATTTTGCATATTACACGAAATAAATAAAAGTGTTGACATAACATCGGTATTGTTTTTTCAAAGTGATAGTSATTTTTTATCTAATTTAAAGACGACAATGCTTTCGTGGTTTTAAGTCGAAAATTTTTAAAAATATTTTGAAATGTTTTACTAAAATCTTTCTCATTTGTTACCCGAATTATTCGATACATGTAATTTGTCTTCGGTAAATGCAGGCCATATTACAAATTATACCTATTTTTAGGTAGAGGTATATTTATTTCACTGTTTTACAACCGTAATAAATTTTCTTACTACATAAAATTGTTTGTGGCAATATAACGATTTTACCTTTCTTCGAGAAGAAAACAAATCAAACAACCGTCAAGAAATTTTCTTCTCTCACTTCTTAGAAGTATTTTTATGCTTTTACTTCGAAGTTTGTTGTAAGGCTAGTGAAGACAGCCAACCCTCTTATTTTTTCAAGCATCAAACTTCGATACATTGCTAATGAGTTGCTTAAACGAGTRATTTTATCTACACTGACCGGCAAAATCATCGCATCACATGAGAAAAGTAATTTTTTATTGAAATAATGATTAAAAAAAATAAATGTTAAAAAAGTTAAACTAAAATTACGATTTAKACTTCAACAATTAAACTACAATTTAATGATTGTCAAAAGAAAGAAAAAGCGAATTTCGTGCGGATCAGTTCTTTAGCTTAGATAAGCTTTTCTTACATTCGGAGGCAACCATTAATACCTAGTAGTATTGCCTCATCGAGCCTGGAAAGAAGCTCAGTTCTTTATTGTTGTCTCTCGGAAATTAGCAGTGATTTTAATAATTTGACATTTAATTAGTAAACAATGAATCTACTAATTGTTTTTGAAAAATCCATTGTCGACTGAGTTACTTAAAATTCATAGGGCTACTCGACAAACATTCGATTTATTCAAATACTTGTCTGTTATAACAAGAGTTCACTTGTTATAATTCTTACACATAATGCTTTTTAAAAAATTATTGATGACAAAAGCATACATTTTTTTAAGTTGTTTGATTTTTTTGTGATAACGATTTGAAAGCAGTTATACAAAGGGGCATATCGATTTATCTGGGTGAATGCAAATAGGAATTTGTAGTTAGTTTAGTTGTGAAACTGTGAGAATTCATAGAAAGTGCATCAATCAAAGTTGGTGCTGCAACTTTTGTTTGCTCAATTGAAGCGCAGAATATCCGTTTCAGTGAAATACGATAAAGCATTGCTCTGAAATACCTAATGTTTCAGTGTCTAGTGTGAGAAAATCGTGTTCAAAAAAGYCCGTTTTGATTTCTTCTTGCTCCGGAATCATTAGTGGTCGTCCTTGGCAATGATTTAAATGCGGTCGTGTGATGGCCTAGTCATTCCTTTGCATTTAATGCGACAGGACGAAAACAAGRCGGAAAACGTCTTTATTTTCCTCACGTAACTCTCAATCGCGTCTGATTCAGATTCCGGCTCAGTATAAATCGATTCCTTTCGGCCACAAACAAGGACGGAACGGTTTCATGTGAGAGGATCCTACACGTTTTGTGTTCCAATGTTTATCAATTCAATGGTCGACGCAGGCGTGGTGTCGTTGGGTTCTCTTCAATTTTTATTTGTATAATCGGTACTGGTGTACAGATGATTTGTCTTTGTTGTTGATTGTGAAGTGTATAGTCTCTTGGGCGAATTCCGGTTACCGGACGCGTTTTTTCGGAAAAGTTTCGGACGTCCGCTGCGGTGCAACAAGTGATTTGCGTAAGATATTTCGAGGCGGCAGTGTTTGTTATACGGCCTGTTTGAGCTTTTCACTAATTAAGTGAGGGTAAACGAYTGGTGGTTTATGATAAATGGAGAAATTCGATTTTACGCTGACGTAGGGTTTAATTATAGGTATCTGCGTCTTTGGCATATTTGGCTTAGATAACYCCAAAATTTCCGATTGTTTGGCCAATATTGACATAGGCTATCGAATAAAACGCTTTTCGGCTCGGAAAAATTTCCTGTGGGATTGTTATTGTTTGGAAAACGGCCTTGAGTGGAGCACAGTGTATWTGAAAAGTTTTTAAGATGAACGTCGCTGACATAATCATGTTGTTTACGGTTCCTTGAGCAAAGTTTTGGGACAGGTTGGACATCTTGAGTATTGTTATGTTAAGTGGAAAATATTGTGGGCGGTCGAGTTAATCGTATTGGTGTTAGTTGATTATTTGATTAAACTTGTTGTTCTTGTTAAATCCACAATTATTTTATTTTTTAAAGGATGGCGTGGAAGAGTTGGCATTTTTGTACTACATACGAGTATGTAGCAATCTAGATATTAATCTCTTCAACATATGAGTCAGTTTTTTAAAGGATTTAATAGTGGTGTCCATTAAACTCCCACTATTCAATAATTTAAACAGGTTAACGGGAATTGATTTAATGTTTATTTAATTTTTGTAGAGAAATAACTAACACGTGTTCTAAGATCGATAAAAATGGAAATTTTCTAATGATAGTGGTATAAATGCAACTATAAAAAATTATTATGGACATGATCGATTTACATATATGATAAACTCTCGTGTTTTTTTATTGAAGTAAACCAGTTGGTAATAWGTAATTTTGACACATGTCTGACGATACAAACATAATCGTACATTTCTCTTACAAGATAAATATAACTTTTATTGTTTGTCGATGGAAATGTTTTAAATATAATTATTGAATTATTAAAGCATTACAAAAAGTGAACAAGCAAACTAGATATATGAAGTTTGTATTGTTATTATTGCTATTAGCTTTTCAACATTTTCTTGATTACGGGTGATACGTAAACAAGAAACAGGTTATGATAGTTCAGAGGTCACATTAAAAATTTTTTTTTGATAATATAAAACTTATTTTTATATCAGAAACGGCACGATTTTTTTATTGTTAATTAATTGTTGATTTAAAATCAGAAGTGAATATCTTACAAAAAACTAAGACGTTTCTGTTGCAACATTTTTTTAGATAAACCGTATTTAAAAGTTCAGAAGTTGAAAAATCAGGTGTTTTTCTTTTAGGAAATCTCAATAAATATTGCAAACAATGTTTAGGTCTAAATCACTATCGATTTTTGTCGCTAAGTGAAGTGCTTGCTTTTGATTGATTGATGTCTGCTTTACAAAGTTTTGATAAAAAAAAATGTGAATTCTAGGTATTCTAGGTTTTTTTATACGAGATTAAGAATTTTTTCTTTGAGTTACGTATGTAATAAGCAATGTATGTATATCTATAATTTCGTTGCTAAAATGCAAACTCTTCTATTAAAAGTGAATTATTGATACATCACAAACAACGAATCGATGGGTRGAGACCTAGTCGACCTACCCCCATCCATCACTGTGAAACAATCAATCTCTTGGTTCACTTATAAAGTAAATTTAGATTTCAGTTTTTGAAGCATTTTAAGCTAACCACGGCGTTTCTACTTTAAACATTTCACGGTAAATTTATTGCTTTCATTGCTAACTAGTTATTTTAGACTTGACGCAACAAGTACCTTAAAAACCCGCACCGTAACCTATTATTTGTCGGGTTCTCCGCATCAAAAGCTCGAGGCCAAGGTCACACATTGTCACCTTGAAYCGAAAGCTCTCGGAATAAAGGCACACTTTCAGATAGATTCGTGAAATGTATTTGAAAAATTGGATTACTTTCGTATCGGAACCGTAAATTCGTAAGGAATTAACCGGAAGTATGTTCAGAGTAACGAACCAATGGGATTAATCCGGAGGCCACTATGTTCCGGAGGTTTTCTTCGCTTGAAAGTAACGCCAGCGCCAAAATATCACCGACACCTTCACCTCCGCTCACGCCTCCGGTTACCTCCGGAATTTGGAATTGGTATTCCAGGTTTAATAACGCAAAAAGGAAATCGCTTGTGTTGTCGCCAAAAGCGTTCATCAAACGAGCGCTGGTAATAACGAGGATTTTTTTACGCAAAAAAGATTTTGCAAGGAAGTAATGAATTTTCTTTGTTTCAGTTACCTGTCGTTGATCCGTTCCTAGAAAAAGTCAATATATCGGATTTAGGTGAGTTCGGTTTTATTTTATTAATTAATTTTATTCGGCTGTAATTATTTCGTTCTATATTGGTTTTGGCATGTTCTATCTGTCTAATTTGTTTGTGTTGCTGTATAATAAACAGTTTAACTGAAATAATTCAAATGAACTGTTTATTAAAAATGTAGTTTTTGGCACACTGGCGTGTTCATATAATAAACGTGTAATGTATTCCTCTGAGTTGGTCTCTTTGACAGAAAGAAAAGTTGAAAATTTTGACGATTTGTTTGGAACAAAAYTAATTTTAAATCWATTTGAAATTTGAATTTGGTTCRTGGAACGCACTAAAAATGGGAGTCCAAATTAAAGCAGGAAAATCTTTCCAAATTTTATGATTTATTACCTACTATTCTAAATTTAAAATGACATTAAGGTAAGATAATAATAATTTAAGAAAAATGTGAAAACGCGGTAAAATGTTGTTTTGATTTGTGGCTTATTTTTCTTTTCCGTGCCTCATTTATATTCAGCTTGTCTAACAGATTAGCATTTTCATGTCTTTCTTGGGACTAAATGCAATTATTATGTGCAATAACGTGAAATTGAACAAAATAAATCAATGTTATAACTACACTTAAGGATAGTTTACGAAAAACAGAAAAGCTTCAAATTTTTTATAACGAAGCGAGATAACGTCAATATTAAAATCATGATATAAATACAAATTGATGACATAATTGTTATGAAAATATCTTTGAAGAAGAAATCAGTGTTTGTTATTGCAGAGATTGTGATTGTTGATTTGAACGTTTTCAATAGTTTATTATATGTATGTAATCAACCTCATTTTTTATACATTCATTATTTGCAATTGTAATTGGATGAGCGTGATCAAACTGCATCAACTCAAATTTATTTTTTGTGATTAAAAACGTATAAAACTGAATATTTCATTATTATTCCGTTTCCGTGATATATTTTGTTAAAACGTGTTTACCTATTTACACCATTGAAGGCATGTGTTGTATAATTATTTATCGGCATACATAACAAAAATTAAGTAAATTTTTTGTTGTTATTTTTGCGTTATTTCCTTTGAATTTTAATGCACATTCAAGGTTACTTTAAAATTGATTTGTTTATTGTCCATCAACAAGACTTGAATGGAATAAATGACAGTTCCATTAAAACAACCAGTTTTTCATATTTATTCAGGATAATTGAATATTTATTATGAAAAAAATAAATTTTTATTATCGGATATGGAGTGGATGTATTAATAATTTTATGAGCGGATTTCGGCCGCCAGCCAGACCGCTAAGAAGTGGATCGGTTGCGGAAATTTTGCTCCACTTCTGGCAGCTGCATTCTGTTGATGCAATCCATCAGATAATGCAGACGAAGTATTTTTAGTTCACATCGAACTAATTTTAGATCGCTGTTTATTCCAGGTGTGGATTTATTTTAACATTTTTGGTTGGCAGGTTATTGCATTTTTATTTTAATTATGAGTAAGTTATACTTGGCACAGTACTATCAAATTTATGGGAAATGAGACATAAAACGAGGGCAGGAATTTTTATTTTCATCTCTGACACGACAATTAATAAAGCTTACCAGTTYTCGCTTTGTGCACCGTAAATATAGAAARAAAAAGGTTTTCAAAATGCTTGCGAGATTGAAATTCGAAACTTTACAGTGTAATAAACGACAATTAAACAAATTGTTTAAATTCTCATATCTCATATGAAATTGTTGAATTTACAAATTAATTTAATTAAATGTTAAATGCAGGATTAGTAAATACCATAAAACGACTGTTTGATTAAAATTTGATAAACAACTACTATGAATTAATTAAATCAACATCATCAACAAGAAAAAAAATAAAGTTTTGAGTAATAAATGTTAAAAAGTGGATTTTCTCCAGCATTAATAAATTGCATAACATTTTAAAATTTTTCTGAGCACTAGAAAGGAGTTCTAATGGTTTTAATACCCGCATTTCTTTGTTTTAAGCCACCGAAAAGGTGAGTAACAACGTTGAATTCATACATACCAATGAGTTGTTTAATTAGTTTTTATCCTTTAAAACTTGTTGATAAAGTAAGCGCTTTTGGTCGATCTTAAATTAAGTAACATATTGAATACAGAAATAAACTTTACTTTGGTAAAGATAAGTTATCTTGTTGCCATTACCTCACACGTCATTCAGTTTCTGTTGACCCTCTTCAACCTTCGTCTAATTTAACGTCCGATTCGATAATTACCAAAATATCAGAAGAAACTAGGAAAAAAGGATTAGAGCAAACGCGATGTTTAATTGCTAGAAGCCACCTTTTTAACATCACGGTCACAGAGATCAAATATTATGACCCTGTAGAAGGCTGTAATCCAATTACCAAATAAGGAAAGGGAGTTTTTCAACAAACGTGACTATTTTATGTTATTATTTGTGTTAAATGTCAAAAGACTACTTGCAAATACCAAATAACATCATTTTTCGTTAATGATATCGACGACTGGCGACGCTCGTTCAGTATTTTGGCAGCTGGTCTATTCGACGCCAATAATAGCTTGACGTTTATCCAGTCAGTGTTAGACGGGGCTCCTTGCGCGAAAGTTAATTTGAATTTGGTGTATGGATGTGGATGGGCGAACAGTGTTACCCCTTCCAAATAGACACAAAATTTCAGGCATAAAAAAGAAAATTTGAAGCTTAATGCTCTGTTGATATTTTTTGTTACGTTTTACTTGTTGTGATTGTAATTGTTATTATTTTTATTGTTATATAATGTTATTATTGATATTTTGTTCCGTMTGACGCGATTAAATTGGCGAAAGGGGAGATTTTGTTATGTCGAAACATTTTTAATCAACTGACCTCTTGAGCCGTCTCCGATAATCTTCTGTTTTGTATTAAATTAGTGATGTTGGGATTTATTTGTTGTCATATGGACGCGGAAYTTTGGCAGTAGTGTCCGTCTTTTGTTGTTAACCACAATTTTCGGCCATGCGGTGAGCTTTTTGACATTTTTCGGCGTGATTTTGCGGGTGCTTTGTGCGATGTGGGAGCGTGACGGGCATGTTACGTTTGCACATCTTCTCGAATCATGTGCGTTTGTTTTTGCCCACGATCGAAGAGGAGGAAGAATTTTACAGTATCGATCAAATCAAAGAGTTCGAGTATGTCTCGCCGGAATACAAAGAGTGGCTCGCGGACGTCCTCGAGCAAGGTATTTTGAGCGTCTTTGGTTGATGTTTGCGTGGGAGTAATTCGATCATTAATAGATTTAAACTGTTTTGACTTTTCGCCGGCAGTTTTTTTAATTAAAATTGAGAGCCGGTAATTTTGTTTCAGAAGAGGATGAATCTCAAATATTCGTCAAATTCTTCAAATTCCACAAGTGCTATGATCTCATTCCGACGTCCGCCAAGTTGGTCGTCTTTGACACGCAGCTGTTGGTCAAAAAGGCCTTCTTCGCTCTGGTGTACAACGGTAAGGACTCACTTTTTCATTTTTTTAAATATTAACCGTACTTGAACACAACTATAAATATATTCTTTTTCGTTTGTTTACTTCCCGAGCAGTGAACACCTTGAATTTTTGCCAATTATACGTCGGGAAAAATGCAGACTATGTCATGATGGATTTTCCAGGAGTTTTAATGGCAGACATCTTTTTTTTATTATTAAATTTTTCTCGATAGTCGGGGAAAGTTTTTGGCAAAGGAAAACTGCCAAAGAAACGRAAAATTTCGAAATAATGGGGTGAAATGAATGAAGTTTTGCTTTGTAATAAAATTCTTTGCAAAAGAAGGAAAACACTGAAAGTTGCGTTAAACTCCAACTGAACCTGATTCAGTTAGAATTTGGCAGCAAACTACTTTTATATATATATATATGTTTTATGTCTTTTGTCATCTAAATTTATAATGGAAATAATACTTTTAACATTAAATTTTTTTGTGTATTAATTTTCTAAATTTATAAACTGAAACATGCAGTATGTAGTAAAGGTTTTTATAATAATTACAGTAGAGTCTCGATAATTCGTACCTTGCGAAATTTTTTTCGGTCAACCTAGACGAAACGGACCGAGCTTAAAAAAACCTAAGACTATTGCAATAATAAAGTCACATATCGGCACATAACCTGTTTTTCGGAAAGTACTTATTATTCTTTAATGATTTATTAAATGCTTATTTACAGTGATTGTTTTGTGGTAATTAGGTTACCTACTTTGAAATTTATTGTAACAATATTTGCATTTAAGTCTGTCAGTTTTATAAACAGGATGATTATAATATACTCAGGAATAATATGTTATCTGTTGATTTTAGGTGAGTAAATAAATTGGTATTTCAAGTTACGAGTAACTTTTGCGGAAACCAATTAATTTTCAGTTTGTGTTTGCACAAATACTCATATAAACATTTTTTTTTGTATACGCTTCTAAAAATAGCTGTTTTGGGGACTCATTAGAGTCTCTAAAATGAGTCTTTTCGGAACTCAATAAAATAGTAGGTACGTGAAATTTTGGGTACTCAGTCTCCAAAAACAGTTTTTCTTTAGGAAAAAGTCATCAATTTCGTTACTATGGTAGCCAAATTTTTTTAATTAGTTATAGATGTGTATTTGTTTTTTGGGAGCTTTAATTTATATTTATTATTTTAATTTATTTAATTTAATTTTATATTTAATAATTGTATTACGTTAAAAGATGAAACTTTGCAATGAATTCAAATTGTATTTTCTAGGCCGTATGTAAAACTCCGAAAAAACTTAACAAAGTTACAACAAAAAATGCACTTTTGCGTTTAGTTGAACAAGTCTGTGAATTTCACTTAAAAATTGCGGTATTTGCCAAGCGGAAGAGTAAAATGTCAGTGTTTATTTTGAGTGATTTTAACTTTCATTTTGTTATTTTACATAAAAATGAATAAATGTATTTTCTGCTTCTGCCATTTTAAACGAAAACTTTTCCAAATAGACGCGAATGCAGTTGATACGTCTGACAGACTTATTTATTTGGACGGTAGAATAATATTTTACAATTTGCAATATTTTTAGTTTTATATTATTTAWTTTTTTTTTATAAATGAAGCATTTCTTTTTCACATTGTGTCACAACCGCGATGTTTATTATTTTTGAAAGTCTCGGATTTGACCAGTTGTGTACTTGTATCATTTTGATATCACATTTATAATTGTTAAATGTACCTAAAACGTTTAGCGGAACATAATTATGTTACTTCAAAGAAAATACTTTAAAACGTAAGAAAGCAAACATAATTTAAAGCCAGCCACCCAACGTGATAATTGCGTTGTTTAATTTTATACCACTTATTAGATAATGAGTAAAATAAAGATTATAATCTTTATTATCAGTGTAACATAACTAACATAATAAGAATTTTTTATCGCTTGATCTCTTGTAATAATTTTGTTCGGTAYCAATACTGCCTTTATTTTTAAAATTTTAATTCATTTTACAGAAATWATAAGGCACTAAAAGAAGTGTGGATTTATTTTTCTGTTTGTTAAAGGACAAATAGAAAAAAGTTGGTTTATACAGTGGACCAGAAACAACTATCGGAATTTCTAATTTTAAAAAATTGCAAMAGTTTACTTTTTATGTATCAAATTTTTATGGTTGCTCATATGTTTAGGTGTTCGAGCGGCACCGCTATGGGACAGCAACCAGCAAGAGTTCGTCGGTATGTTGACCATCACCGACTTCATAAAAATACTTCGAATGTACTACAAGTCACCGACGGTGGCGATGGACGAGCTTGAGGAGCACAAATTGGACACTTGGCGGCACGTGCTAAAGGATCAGCGCCCTCTTATCTACATCAGTCCTGACGCCTCATTGTACGATGCAATCCGAACTCTTATTCACAACAGAATCCATAGATTACCGGTGATCGATCCCGAAACGGGAAACGTTCTTTATATCCTAACCCACAAGAGGATACTCCGATTTTTGTTCTTATACGTAAGAAGTTTTGATTAAACCCCAATGATTCTATCTAATCACACTGCACTTTGTTATAGATTAACGAACTTCCTAAACCTAGTTATATGAACAAAACTRTGAGAGAAGTGAGYATCGGTAGTTACGAGAATATCGAAACAGCAACAGAAGACACTTCGATTATTTTAGCTTTGAAAAAGTTTGTCGAGAGGCGAGTCTCAGCGCTGCCCATTGTAGATAATGAAGGAAGGCTTGTTGACATCTACGCTAAATTTGACGTTATTGTAAGTTGCTTATGAAATTGGTAATTCACTATTATTTATGAATTTAATTTTGCAGAATTTAGCCGCCGAGAAGACTTATAATGATCTAGACGTTTCATTAAAGAAGGCCAATGAGCATAGGAACGAATGGTTTGAAGGTGTGCATAAATGTAAGCTCGACGAGACGTTGTTTACGATTATGGACAAGATTGTCAAAGCAGAGGTAAAAAAAAAATAGTTTTTTAAGTATAATTTTTTCCACAACGATGTGTTAAATCAAATCCATGATTTCGTTCGAGTTAAATTAACATGTTTATTTTATTTAAAATTTAAAGCAGCGAACACCAAAGGGATTTATTTGCTATGTGGGCGAATAACTTTTGATTGAATGGTTATTAGAACAGAAACTCATTTAATGGGAAAGATTGAAATTTACTTTAATAACAAGAGATTCACTTATATTCAGTCTTCTATCGTAAATATTTTTCTTAATTTTTATAACAGCATATTTACATAATTATCTTATAAACCAAATATTTATTGAATAATCATTTTAGATTCATGTCGGGATTAGAACAGCCTCAACTTGTTATTATTTTATGAAACGAATTTGAAGTTTATTGAAGTAAGGTGTCTCTTTTATCGTCAAGTAACAGTCTTCTTTTATTACAACAAGAAAATGTTTTATGTAGGTTGTAAAAACAGTTAGCAGTAATTTTGTAGCACAATCCTGAATATTTTTACTTTATTTTTTATAAAAACAATTTTATGTTAATAATTTTATTTACGACTGTTAAATAATGCAATTATATGCACATTCACAGACAAATCATTTAGTTCATTAGGCGAATGGCATATAAAGTCATATTTCACGACTCTTTTTTTTTGGCATTTTTATTAATTAATTGTAACGTCAACTTTGTCAATAACAAAAATCGAAAGTATTCATAGTTGTGGATAAGATATAGTTTTCTATTCGCATATCCATAATGCCTATCATTCACTCAGGTGATTGAATAATATACTATACAGGGTGCACCAGAACTCGCGCCCCAGAGAAAATTTTCATGTAAGGTAAGATACCAGGAACATGAAAAAAATGTTTAAAAAATTCTATCTCAAAAAATTTTGACATATTTTTTGACATTCGACATTTTTTTATATCTATTTAATGATACTGATGATCTTGTATATGTTTTTTTACAATTATTTAGTAAAGGGACAAAAATTTTGCCAATAAAAGCCACAAATAACWTTGAACAGAGTTACAATTTAGGATACAGCTTCCTTGTTTCCTCTTTTAATAGCCTATAGCAAAAAAACTTGGGAAATTATTTTTCCAGCAGAAATAAATACGAGTCAAAGTGCAAACTTTAAACCCTCATAACTTCGAAATTTTTATAGATAAAATTTTTTWAACATTTTTTCCTTGTTCCTGGTATCTTACCTTATATGGCATTTTTCTCTGGGGCGCGAGTTCTGGCGCACCCTGTATATCCAACTCTTCTTTATAATTGAACAATACCTATGCCGATTTTAAGTGGATAAAGTATTCTATACGTTACGAGTGAGCCACTCTTGGGTTAGCTTACTAACACTAAACACACTTGTACATAACTGTTGTACTTCTCAAGAAATATAAATTGTTACACATTTTGACGGTTGTTGCCAAAATTTTGTARCTAACACATGTTTAATTTTGCAGGTTCATAGGCTTGTGGTTGTTGACGACGACGACAAAGTCATAGGTATAATATCACTGTCCGATCTTTTCCTATACCTCGTGTTACGACCTTGCGGCGAAGACGGCTCTCCCGACGGCGTAGCCTCGGTCAGGGCGCAAGACATCAAACTCCAGGAAACCATTTCGCAGTTAGAGAGGACGTCTTCGACCGAAGAAGTATCTCAAACAATTCCCGAAGAAGAGGAAGACCCGACCATAGAAAAAAATACTCAAGAAGAAAAATCCGAAAACCATAAAGATGATTCCGATACGAGTCTGCCCGACTCTCCCGTCATCGAAAGTACAACGTTACCAAGTGAGAACAGCATGTTCAGGGAGGTGACGGTGACGGGCGGCGGAGAATAATTTTTTTGTTTTTTTATTTTCTGGGTGATTAGTATTTAAGATATCACGGTTCATATTGGTTTTGAGCCGGTCCTGGATTGTTTCTTTGTTACGGGACGTTGATCGCTTTTTAGTCGACAATGTCTGTTACTTTGTGATCGTGTGTCCTAAATTTACAAGGGACTTTAATATTTTTAAGAAATTTGTACTTAATAAGTTACATACCAAAGACTGCTTTACGTCATGCCGAGTGACGGGTGAAAGAAACAATTCAGATATCAACTAACTCATGGTGTGCTTTATTTATTTGTATAATACACTTATTTTTGTCAGATAATGTTGTAAAAAGAGACAAAATGGTTAACATGTTATTGTTACAACTATATAACTATAACGTAAAATTATTCTATTTAGCTGCACGGAAGGCTTTGATGACATTGAGGATGAAGTTTGGAAAGAATATAAATTGTTTATACTTACATAGTAACAAAAGAAGCCTTATATTTCGTACAATAGAGGATTCTGTGCTTAATGTTGTCAAAGCAGAAAGAACCTCAAATATTCTTTGGAGAATTAACACTTTCTTTTTGTAAATACTTGAAGAATAGTGGATTATATTCTTATCATTACGGATATTTTTTTTATTTCAGAGCAAAAGGAAAGGTATCTTGATGAGATCTACAATTTTTAAATTTTATATATAAAAATTAAGCTAATGTACAGTTCGAAATAAATGATATAAAAGCGAGGTTAACTCAAAGTTGGTATTTGCTAATTTATTGTTAAGGTAGTTTAAGATATACAACGATGTAGTTATTTAGTAGGTAGGCTGATGGCCTATACGATGCTTAGTAAACGTGTATCTACCATAAAATAAAGTGAAGTTTTTTTGACCTCTTAAACTTAAATTCCTTTTCCTATATTTATTATTTAATCAGTTTTAATATTTCTTGAAATGGATTTTCAAGAGACATCCTTGATCTTGTCATTCTTCCTAATCGTTTACATAAAAGTAATCTTTTATTAATAAATTATTCAGGAAATTATCTAAATGTATTTTGTGTATTTGAAATAAGTCATTAATTATTGTTTAAATCAATCTACATTAGTCACATTGCTATTGCTTCGTGATCTTGTTTCAGGGCCAGCAACTTAACTTCAGGTGCTTGATTCTAATTTACAAAAATTATAAGTGCGAAATCCAAGGAATTTCACAGAAAAATCAGCCTCTATCTCATTTGATGTAGTTTTGAATTGGAATTTATTAACTTTTTTTTTATCAGTGACTGCATTACCTCGTGCTCACTATAGTGAAAAATTGAACCGAATTAAAATTTACAATTTCAAATGAATTTTTACCTTTTTATCGGACTACTAATTATCATTTTTCATGCTGATTCTGGCAAAATCTAAATCAGATTTAGGCAAGTTTCTTTTTTTTAATAAATAATATTTTATTAACCAACTTGTTACTAATTATTAATTATAGGATGTTTTATCTTCACACTTCATGTGTTTCTGATAAGAATAGAATACTTTTCAAACACTAAATGAGGGAAGAAATTTTTTGTTCTCTTAATATTTTTATTTCAAAGTTACGTTCGCTAAAGTCCTATTGATTTAGAACTATAAAATTTACGAGGGATAGTAGTAAGAAGGCCCCTTCAACACACTGCCACTTTTTAAGGAAAACATCTCGATTTTTAAGGGTAAACTGAAAAGCAGAAAAAATCGTGAAAACACCCTCGTTTGAAGGTATATCTATTTTAAAATTAACATTTTTTAAGGAAAACACCCCGATTTTCAAGGGTAAACTGAAAAGCAGAAAAAATCGAGAAAACACCCACGTTTTTAAAGCCACCGTAAACCCATTTTTGGAACTCGATAATTAATGAATACAAACCCGGTTCGTTAATAAATACTGTTTTGACATCAATTTTCTTGACGTCCTGTATTAAGGCTTCTGGAAAATCTATCTTTTTAAGAAAAAACAACCTGATTTTCAAGGTAACTCAAAAAGCGTAAAATTTCAAGTTAAACACCCCGATTTTCAAGGGGTAACTAATAAGGTCTTCTAAACACACATCATTTTTTCAAGTGCAAGTTTAACTGATTGTAAATAAAATAATAAAAATAAAATAAATCTGGCAACAATGCACAAAGTTTGCTTTAGAAAATGACAACCTTGCGCCATGCGCAAAACGATGCTACATAGTATATCCACAGATTAGCAACTAATCTGTGGTATAGGTATCAAGTATATCATCAATATGATCATCATTCAATGGCTGTCATTTCTTCGGGTTACTTATGTTAAATAAATTTTTATAATATTGTGTTTTAAACTGTCTATTACAAGAATTGTTTAATATTGGTTAGTCTTGGTGTTTTGTTTTCGTACTTGGTTTTTGTTACATAATAAGGTAGGTATGCGTAAGTCTTAGTTGCTTTTTTTAATATAGGTTATGTTTTATAGCAAGTACAATCTAAAAGATCACCTAAGATATCAGTACTTTTTCTCAGCATGGCGATTGTGCCTTGCCCAAAAACATGGGAGCTACCGCTTGCAACAGGATGCTTTCCAAACGTAGAGGAGATGCATCACCAAGCTCAAGTGCTTTTTTTCCCCACTTATTGCCTGGAATAAGTATAAGACACGTTAAACCAATATATCGAAAGGAACACCCATGTTGCGCATGGGAAATTAGCTGCTACTACCAAGGCCCTGTGAACAATGGATTAGCAAACCATATATATCAGATAGTTCAAAGTAATAAATATATGAATGTTACAATTGGAGATATAAACATTAACAGTTACAATAACTTTTCTGTGATATATAATGTTAACTGTGAATGTAATGCTGCGGATTTTTAATTTGATGTGACGATATCATTATTTATGATGATGAATTATAAACTGACTGTACTGTTGATTGTAACCTAAGTGATAAATAATAGTAATTAAATATTTTTTCTATWTAATATCAACTAGCTCAAATTCAATTTTACCTTTCGTTTTATTAATCATATTATAATTATTTGACTTTAAAGCTTTTGGTAATAAGATATGTGATAAAAGAAGATGCAGTTGATAAAAACAACGTTGTTTTGAAAGTTATCTTGAAGACCTTGTTAATTTCTATGTTTATATTTTTGTTCTTCACAACTTTTTGTAATTAAAAGAATTGTAACTTTTTTATATTTCAAATTCTTCATCAAGAGTAATTTCAAAAGCTTGATCAATTATTGAATTGTGGAGATATAATGTTTTCCATTTACACAGTATAATAATTATCCATTACCTAGTAACAATAAAGAAGGATTATTTATTATTAACGAAATGGATTAATATCCAAATGGTATTGTATCAAAGTTTTTTAGAATAACTCTCTTGTCATAAACAAAACCTTTTGGTTTCTATTTTATTTAAAAGTTCTTTAGTTTTAGTATCTCTGGTAATTCGATTATATTGTGTACTGATTTTGCAGTCTTTGTTCGTTTTTGACTCTGGAGCGGCTCTGCTGGACTTTTCTAAAATATTATTCATGCTATCGGAATTAATCTTTTTGGACGTTTCATAGTTTAACGTAAATCCTTTAATTTTGCAAACAAGTTTACCTGTATTAGCCTTATAACAATAGCTTTTTGGACCTGTTGATATCCAGTCTATTATCCARACGCCTTTACCTAATTCGCCTGTCCAATCTCCCAATAGACAACCTGTTTTAATAGTGTTTTTTCCATAATCTACATATACAATACTATCTGTGTCATAATATGCTACGCTTTTTCCTAATTTATCTAACATTTCGTATAATCTTAGTCTTTGCAGTTGTAAAAGCGGCTATAAATATATTGGTATTGAAATCATTTTCAACATAACAATCTTTTAACTTATAATCAATTTGTAACATATTTTCATTTATATCGTTTATACGTATATTATCAAGTTTCTCGTCTAATAAAATGTCATAAAACCTTTTAACATCTGTAACATATTCTGTTGCACCCATATTTTGTCTTTGCCCCATAAGGAATTTAAGCATATTTTCGCAACAGCCCTCTTTCCAGGATTATTTTCTATTTTACCCAATTCAATACCTAGATTTTCTTTTACAGCTTTTCTATATTCTTCTTCTGATTCAAAATCATCCTGCCAAGGYCTTGTTTCTAATTTAATTTTCATAAACGCTTTCACATATCCTTTAAATAAATTTGATGATTTTTCGTAAAAATGKCAAACCTCATCAATAGTTATTATTTTGTAACCCTTTTCAATTGCTTTTTTTACTTCGTTGGTACACCAGGTTCCTCTGATAATTCTTTGAGATTCCGTATGAGAACATCTTTTTGATTATTTAATTTTGCGCACAATTGACATAATGGAAATGTTAGTTTTTCATCACCAGATTTGGTTTTATTCTTAACAGGTAAAACGAGGTGATACAAACCTTTTGTTGCACATTTTATTAAACCATACCAATCTGAATTATACGTACGAGGTTTGAATATTTTAGTAGGATGTCCAACTGGATAATCATCGTAACATTGTACTGTTGGATATAAACTGCAAATATCTATATATTTCATTTTCTTCCCCTTAACGCGCAATTTTGTTGCATTCGTTCCTCCTCCAAAGAATGCTTTTCTAGGATTAAGTTCTTCCTGTTCCTTAATTTCTTCTTCAATTTGTTTCATTTCTTTCTTATATTCTTTTGACTTCGTCCACTCACATTCCCACATTTCTATTAAGTTATAACCAGCTTTTTTTAATTCCTCGCTTCTTTCTATTGTTTTCTCATAAAGATCTTCCATAGTTGTTTTATTCTTATTATTAATAAAATCTGAACTATAACATTTAGTACAACCATGCCAAAAACACCCGTGATATTGGTAAACAGTATTGGATTTTTTATCAAATCCGTCAACTTTTGATCCACATATTTTCACTTCACCATTGTTTAATGCGTGTTTTATATTTTGATTATGAAAACTATTTAACCATGAAATTGATTGTTGAGAATATTGATCTTTTTTCGGATTATCAACAACAGCTATTGTATCTTTCTTAATATATTTTGATCTATATAAAAACTCTCCCCTTTCTTTTGGTTTCATAGTTTCATAGAATTAACACCATAGTATTTTGTATCAGGTATTTTTCCAATATAGTTCTGATTTTTTGTTGAATTGAAGAAATGTGGAAAATATCCTTTTTTAAGTTCTTTTAGACCGAATGTTTTAGGGAAGTTTTTTAAAGGTCCTTGAACAAAATTACTACTATCAATAATTCTTAAATTAATTGATTTTATTTCCATTAACATAATTTTAGATCCATTATATACGCAGAAAGGTTTAATACCGTTTTCAACGCAATATTTTAGAATAAAGTAAGAATCATAACCTTTAAAATAATGTGCAATAGCTGTGTGTCCTCGATGATCTTTAGAAATTAACCATTTACAGAAATCTTCGTTAGTCTTAAAAGAATTTACATTTCCGCTAAAATCGTGAGATATAACTAAATTAGCGATGTGTTTGCCTGTTTCTTGCATCGCTTCATAATCAAATAATAAATATTTTTCTGTATAAGAGCATTTAGTTGTATCAAATAAACACCCGCATTTATGACACTGAAAGCCGTCTTCGTTCTTTCTTGGTATTTTAACACAATTTTTACAATTTTTACATTGATATATGTGATATTTTACTCTCATGTTTGTTTTACCAGGAACCATTGTTGTACAACCTTTTCTATCACAATTTTTACAACCTTTTACTTTATATATTTTATCACCGTCTTTTATTGTTGTTTGACAGATTCCACCTTTTTGTCGTTTCCATTGCATATAACATTTATGTTTTAATATTTCAATTTCTTTATAACAATTTCGACATTTTTCCCATCCACATCTGTGTTCTTTGCTGCCCTCTTCTATCATTTTGTTACCTTTGTTAATGATTTGAWTACTCTTCTTGTTATTTCCTTCTTCAATCATTTTTGTACCTTCGTCAACCATTTTATCACCTCTTTTGAGTATTTTATTACACTTTAAGCATTTATGAAATCTTTCACAAACTTCTGAATGATTGTRTAAACATTCTTGATTAAAGCAATACCTATTACATTTTTCACAATATATTCTTTTTGAAGAGTCTTCTTTGTGACTAGACTTGAAACACATTACGCATATTTTATCCTTCATTTTGCATTTATGTCCGTCTTTATTTTGATATGGTTTATCACATTTTTRACAATAATAAGACTGACCGTACAAACCTGTCATACTATTGATTGTATCGAAATGATTTCCATTTTTATATAAATAAACTTTTACATCTATTTCAAGTCCTGAATATATTATAGAATTAAAACATTCGGCTGCTACGATTTTTATTTGAATATTTAATAATCTTTCTATATTCGCAATATCATCTAAAGTAAAATAATTTCTATTATATTCCCCAAGTTGATTACATAACTACTTCTGCATAAAATATACAACCGTATATATCTAAATCTTGATTTGAAGTTAAGATACTTTGAATTTTGTTTAATAAATTGTCAATATCAGAAGTTCTTGATGATCCTGTGGAAATAGGATTCCAAAGATCAGGATGATTAACCACTATATTCATTAAATCTCCTTCTTTGAAATTTGTTTTCTGTTTTACTATTTTAATCATTTCATTTAATCCCTCTCTAATYGCAGTAATTTTTTTCATAATTATGTCTGAAAGATCAGACTCGGATGWTTCTTCSTCTTRCAKTAATATAACRTTATAYTAAARTTTYTGTRTCRRCCATTTTTTACTGTATTCAGCTTTTGTTTCTTCTTCTATTATTTTAATTTTAGATTTTTTTGAAAACTCTGTAAAATAACTATCTTCGAAAGCGAARGGTTGGTCGTTAATTTTTTGTAATAATTCTGCCTTCTTCATTTTAGAGTAACCTTTGATATTCTTTTCTTTAGCAATTTTTCTTAATTCTTTTATCGTTGTATTCTGAGTCGATTCGTTTTTTGACATGGTTTCCTCTAATAATTCCTCTAAACTTTGCGACCCAATTTCTTTAAGAATAGTATTTAAATTTTCATTGTTTACATTATCTGAAATTCGATTCACTAGATCTGTTTTTTTACTATTTTGTTTTATCTTTAGGTCTATTTTTTCAGCAATAGATTTTAATTTTTTAATATTGAGTCTACTTAATTTATTAAACCAGTCGCCAGTATCGAGCTCTTCTTTTAGAATTAATTTTATGAGGTCTGATTTAGTCTTCGAGTTGTATTGTGAATAGTTTCTTAAGCCCAGTCTTTTTGCAATGGTTTTTATTTTTTTTTAATTTAGTTTATTTAGGACAATCTCATTATTTGTCCGTGGTGTTAAAAAATATTTATCCATCGAGGACGGCTCATGGTGAGGCTTCGGCTTCGCCTCTGGGCTGGCTTTACCAGGCTTCGCTGAACTCGATAGCGAAGCTAACTCGTGAGTCGAAGACGAACTGTCTTTATTAATTTGTTCAATTATGTCGCCCACTTTTTTTAAATCACCTTGAGTAAGTTTTATAATTTCCTCGAGGCTCATTTTACGAAGCTGATCTTTCGAGAGCCCCATTTATTAGGGAAAAAAATTATTCAAAAAAACATTTATGGATGAAATTCGCTTTGCTCATGAGGACTTTGTCCGAATTATCCTTTTAAGTCGTTAATATATGTTTCTAATTTTTCATGCCATATTTTTTTGAAATGTCTTTTCTTTGAAATGASTTATTTTGAAATTATATTAGTTTCTTAATATAAAAAGACCATAAATCCATTGCTAATTCAAATTTTTTTTCTTTGGTGTTGTTAACTGCTCTAAACGTATTTATACGCGGTAACTGTTTAATGCGTTCTTAGAAACCCATGGGACGGATTCATTTTTTTCATAAAAGAATGTTCAAAAGTTGTGTTCTGCGATATTAGCACGGAAAAATGAGTGATGAC